ATTCTGTTCAGCGCCGCTTCAACTCGACTCGATTTGGTTAGGTTTGGACCATTCTATGACCCCAAACGTGACCAAGGGTTCTGCAGGCGGTTGAATGCCATACTTCTACCTTAAAATGCCTTCCGCTTCGCATATTCGGGTTTTACTATCTTTAAGCTGATCGCTTTCAATCTGGATGGATGTAATATGTGCACGGAAAACAAGAAAAGCCGAAAAAACCGTAGATAAAACGTCTTTGGGGCGCTTTTCAACCATTTTACAACGTTTTAAAACTGTTTAAAAACGGGCGGAGCAAGCCAAACGGGGTGTTTTACTCCGCACATGACATGTTTTAAAAAGGGAGTTGCCACCCCGGGAGCCTGGCAAGGAATTATTCATAGTCCCATAGCAAAACCTCCTGGTTCTCGAGCCGCCAGTCTGCAGCTGAGAAGCAAGAGAAGGGCCAGTTATCACCCAGTTATTTATCAATTTATAGCTAGGCGGATTTAGCACCTTGCATTTGTGCATTGATCCAAGTAGCTGTCGAATGGGATATAATCCCTTTTCATTGTTTCCTTCGTTTCTCAACTAATATTACTCCGTTGCAGCATGTATGGGCCACGTATGGGCCACTGAGGCAACATATGGGCTATCCCGGCTCGGGCCCGGCTCATGGGCATGTAGGAGCGTAGTGCGTTAGCGAACCACTTGTAAGCCTAGACGCCCCGACCTCAACGATTCTCGTGACAAAGAAGTCAAGGCTCGGACGCAATGATGGCGTGCCAGGAGTCGAAGGTGTCCAATCACCTTCGATCACGGTCCATCACATGCACGAGGTGGCAACTCAAGTTTTAAAACACCTTGTGTTTTATTCGTCTTATTTTTTTAAAACCGCATAAAACGAATAGCGCTAAGGTTTTATTTATAACCAACGGATAGAGCTCGTCGAGAGGTGCCTAAAACGTCCCTTATTTTTGGAAATGGACCCCCCATCCGATTCTAAAACCACTTTAAAACAGAATAAAACAACCAAAACGGCCGCAAGCCTATGTGCGTCCAAGATGGGCTGAAAATATCCCTGTTTTAAAAACAGCAAAACAACTAAAACGTTTTAAAATGCCTTCCGCTTCGCATATTCGGGTTTTATTATCTTTAAGCTGATTGCTTTCAATCTGGATGGATGTAATATGTGCACGGAAAACAAGAAAAGCCGAAAAAACCGTAGAAAAAACGTCTTTGGGGCGCTTTTCAACCATTTTACAACGTTTTAAAACTGTTTTAAAACGGGCGGAGCAAGCCAAACGGGGTGTTTTACTCCGCACATGACATGTTTTAAAAAGGGAGTTGCCACCCCGGGATCACATGCTCTCAGTGAAGCATCTTCAAGATCCAAGCTCGTGAGGGTCTTGTGAGCAGAGTCATGTGCGCCAGGCGGGATCAGTACGTGGCCTCACATGCTTAGGCCGTGGTGCATCATTGCAAAGTCCTAGAAGTCTTATAAGTTCCGTTCCATCTCACCACCCTTCTGCGGATTTGAGCAACGATTGATCGTACGTGTCATGCCACAAACTCCATCAATGGGCATGCATGCACGGCAATATTTCACGACAACATGTACTAATCCTCATATTTGTCACTTACTAAAGACGTTAGCATGCGGGCTGCAGTCAGCTACTATAGGTGATCAGGCAGCAATTGGTACCAAAGAGGAATTAGTCAATAAGCTGGGCACTCGTCGATCGGATCGACCGTCGCCTCCTTCAAGGTGAGCCTCGGGCCTCGGGCCCGGCGTTTGCCAGAAACTTAAGCAGATTTGATTGGCTTAATAAGTTGGCCCGCGCGGCTCGATGGACATTTGGACAGGTGCTCGTGGTCTAAATCTGAGTGTTCGGATCCTATTGCAATCTTGCGCTCGCCAGTAGCCATGCCAATGATTGGCGAGCCGTATCAATGAATCTGTCATCCTGCTGCAAGTTCTGACTATGACAGTACCAATCATTACCGGAAGTGAGTTGAAGTTACTCGACAGCAATGTGGTTAGTGAGGGCATAATTCAACAAGGGCTGCATGGTAAGATTTCAATGTTTCAAGATATTACTCCGGGGAGTCTCACAGTCATCATGCAAGACTAATTTATGCCAGGTGCGCGACACGGAAGTGCACTCCAGATTTGTGACGCCTCCTCAAAAACATCTTTCAATCGGCGGCCTCCTACCTGTCCCTAGATGCAGTGTCTATGTTTCTTGCTTATCATATGCACATCGTTTCATTGGCGCACTATTCACCTGTATTCAAAATCCTATGATCTTTGTGTTAACACTGCCAGTCCTTTATCGTTCTGGAGGGGTACAGCCCATTTACAATCGCTGAGAATCTGTATGACATCCTCAGCCCCGCACAGAGATTTCCTCTGCCGGCTACCTTTTCTGCTTATCAACCTCTACATGTGCTTTGCTCGCCGGGCCTCCGGTTTGATCAGCGCTCGGAGCCGGTGCGGCAGGCTTTATTTGAGGGCGTGCATCTGCTGTCTGTTTGGGCGGCTTATTCCCTGGCATTTGCACCTTTTCCGTCTGCGCTTTTGGCGCCTCCGAGGTCCGCCGGTTGAGCGCCATCATGACCAGTTGCTGGCTCCGGGCTGCTATGGCCACCGCCTTATTCTCTGTTGACTTATGTACGCCGCTAGTCTGACTTTGCATGGCTTGCGTTTGCATATCTATGGACACGGGGTTGCTGAGCGAGGACCCCGGAATGTCTACCGTGTTTTTCGGAGCGCCCACCGGACGCTGGTCCGGCTTATTGGTTAGGCGTTCAAGTGACCGGTACTGCAGTCGGAGGGTCTCTCCGTGGTCCAAGGTACGTACCATGTACCAGCCGTTCAGGCACTGCTCCGTGATGATGGCGCGTTTCCCGACAACGTGGGCCGGCGTCCGTTTGTTGCCCTGCGAAAGCAAAGCACAATCGACGGCTCACGATGGGCAACGCTCTCAAGAACTAAAGAGAAGCGCGCGACAGCTCGAGTAAAGGCTTCAGACTCTTCAGTGCGATATCAATTTGCAGTGACATTTTGTGAGAATCTGCTCATCACTTGTACTGATCTACTTGTCTAAGAACGCGGTCCTTGAACTGCTCTCTTTCCAAGGAAGAGGGGGGGAAAACCGTCACGATGGGTATAGCGCAACATCTGTGAGCGGTTTTCCTTGCGGAATCGAAGACCAGAGGTCCCGGACCAACTCTTACAAGTTAAAGCCCTTGATTTGCGTTCTTTTAACGGTGAGCGCGTTTCAAGAGAAGACACGTCGGAAAACGGGATGACAAAAGAGACTAGTATTGGAGAACCTTTGTTCATCGGATGAGCCTGTCGAACTGGCCAATCCGATGTTCAACTGCGCGTGCCTAGCCCAATGAAGGTGCACCATATCGAAGCTCCGACACATCGCCCAATACCCGACACGTGGCGCCATCCGAGCCTCACCTTGATTACCACATGCTCGCGCACTTTGTACGGGTACTGCACCCCCCGAGGCTTCTCGGGCTGCCCGCTCGCGGCCGCGCCTTCCGGCCGCCGCTTCACGAGCCGCGGGTCGCCTAAACCCTGAAACCCTGGCGGCCAGCCGTAAAGCCTGTCCCCGGTCTGCGGCTCCAGTTTGCGCTTGAACGGCGTTAGCGCCGTTGGAGCCAACGCCCCGAACCCTGGGTTGTTGAGCGGGTTTTCAGCGGCGGGGTTAGGACCTAAACCCCCAAACCCTGGCGGGTGCGGCGCCGGCTGGACGGGCCGGCGCTGAGGGACCATTTGCCGCTGACGTAATTGGTCCCAGAAGAGCCCGGTCGGAGGGGGGAGCGGGTTGTCGATTGGAAAGCGGGGGAAAGGGGGGTGGGCGACGGAAGTCTCAAGGAACGATGCGGCGTTTCGAAGCGCTGCACAGATAGAGTTGGGAGTGAACTTGAGTCAGCAGAAGGATGAGTAGAATACAAGATTCTTTGAACCTACTGTTCGCCGAAAGTGGGTTCCAAGTAATCGCGGTTCAGAGTCACGTCAGTCCAAGATTCCGTCACACTGTGGCTTCCAGCGCGGACTCTCGAACATAAGCAGGAGGCAACCACTTTTCGATAGCCGTCGAAACAGCTATCCGAAGGGGCAAGATTGCAACAAAAGGTTTACTATGCGAAGAAGGATCTATGGAAGCGTCCAACGAGTCGTGGAGCGATACTTTCTTCAAGGCTAGAACTCCGTCATGATCTGACATTGTGTAAGTGCGCACGCTGCAATCGGGGTTCCCTGCTTGTACAAAGCGTTTCTTGCATACCCATTGAGGCGTGTATGGCCGTTGCTGAGCACCAACAAAAGAACAGTGTGTCTACCTCCTTCAAGGAGGGAACGTCTTCACAAATTGCAGCATTATCTGCCAGGAACAGGGATTCATCTGGAAAAAGCGCCTACCTGGGTTGGGCACCAAAGTCGCCATGTTTACTTCCTTTCCGCAGAGGGGACACGACCCACTCTCTGCCACCCGCAGCATGCTGGCCGCGCCAAACGAGTGACCGCAGCGCGCGAGGAGGGAGTCGATCATTGGAGCGCCGCTCAGAGGGTCGGACAGAGTGTAACGCAGGGTGGGCTCCGGGAGGGGAGAAGCCTGCTGTCGAGAAGAGTCATTAATTGGTATCGTCGAATCTACGTGAAAGATTTACACGGGACGAAGAATGGTGGGTCCCAAAGAAGGTGGCGCAGATTTGGCTCTAGCCAACACAGAAGGCCTGAGCTGTAGGCGATCATTAAATAATGACCGTCATCGCTGCACACTTGCGGGACGAGTGGGCGCATCAACGAGAAATAGACGGAAGCGATGCTGAATGTGAAGTGAAAGGATTGGCCGCAATCCGGGCTACCCTTGAGATCCAGATCTCAAGGACGAGCAGGCATCCAAATGCATCCACCGGGTTTCTTGTGTTCTTCGCATGAACCGGCCAAGGAAGGGTAGCAATATGACATTGTGTGGACAACACCACGGAAAACCAAATTTTGTCACCACAAGAAAACGCCCAAAGCAGTCCTGGAGGGGCTCCAATCTACACAAGCCCTACTGACCTCGGCTCCCTGCGACCGGTCCGCCATTGTCCCGACGGCCCGCTCCATAAACTCCCTCGCAATCACGGGCTGCAGAAACGCCGGCGCAACCGCACGCCCGCTGGCGTGGAGCTTCGCCGCCGAGAGCTGCGCGTCTGGACGCGGGTTCAGGTGGAACGTAACCTGAGTTCGCGCCCCAGAATTGACGGTTTGGGGCGTTAACCCGGAGTTTGACGCGGGGTTCGGGGCCGGGTTGATGCAGTGCAGAGCAGGGTTTAGAGCGCCGGCGGTGATGACGTGGAGGGCTTGGCCTGGGAGAACGAGGATGTCGCCCGGAGAGAGTTGCTGGTCTGCCAAGTACCAAAAGCCTTGGGCGTCCGAAACCTGCGGTGGGAGGTGACGTTCATTGTGAAATGGGAGGAAGAGAAAGCCTGACCGTCTGAATTCCACCAAATGACCATCTGGCTTGGTTGGCTCGAGGGTCTGGCCAACTTCCCGCATATTCGGAATCTTGTTTTGAGCAGTGCTTATTCTGTAAAGCTGTTGGGACGTGCGTTTACAGGTTACTTGGCAGCACTTCAAACAACATTGTGACCGAGTCTGGTGACAGGTTCCTCTACCTTCACATTGGAGTTTTGAAGGGGTAATCCAATCGGCTTCACAAGAGACAAGAAGTGCGGATGAGCCTCTCTGTTAGTTGTTTTGGTATTTGTGAAGAGATGACAGATCTCGTTTGAAAAGGACGTGTTTGAGTGTCACTAAGTTATATCATTTTTTCCCATTCTTTGTCAGAAAACCTAGGATTGAGAGTGTACTTAATCTGCTCAGCGAGATTTCTAAGTACCCCAAGGTCAAAACATTCTGTGCAGAACTTCTGACAACTGAACGTCACGATGACGTCACACGACCGCAGTAGTCGTGTCCATCCCCTCACCTGAAGGCCCGGGCTGTCTGCCGCCACCAATGTGAAAAAGCCCCGGCCCATCCGCACCTCCCCGTCCTGCTTCTCGGGAGGCCCCTCGGGGGGTCCCCCGGGGCCGGGCCGCTCGCTTGCAAGGACGCTCGACCCCGTCGTGCCACGTGGCAGAGGGACGTCGTCCAGAAGATCCGAAAAGGCGTCCGCACGGAGGCCCACGTGGCGCGCAGTGGCAGCGAGAACGGTCCGGGAGACTTCTCCGAGGAGACGGTACAGGTCGGGCAGAAGGGGTGGCTGAGAGTCCTGGTACGGCCTAGTAGGATCAAACAAAAAGGTTTACATGTTGTATCTGGGTCTTTCTCAGGATGGCTTCTGGCCCATTTCGTCGCTACACTCACACAAAGTTCCTACGACGGGCTGCGTTCTCTGCACCATGAGATGAGCGAAAAATAAGTGGATAACTAGAAACTGGTTGTTTGTTCAAAGACCTTTTCCAGCAAACGGTAGACCTTTGAATCGAGGGTTGGGACCCTTGGCGCGGCATACGTGGGCATGGATGGACGCTCGCTGATCTGCTCGTGATGGTATTGAGTCTTTTAAACCGCTGGTTCAGGGAAACTTGAATGAGGGGACAGGCTGATAGACTGGTTACAACTCCTACGAACAGGAATGTTTATATAAATTTCGTTTCGAAGACCAGCTGAATAGCCGTTAAACAAAACAGAGAACACGTTTGGGCCTGAGCTCGTAAAGGGTTCCACGCGAAGATGGTTCAACCTTTTCACATTTCCACTTCCATGTGAAAGACCCGACCTTTCTCTTGATGCCCTCGTCTTGACTAGCCTGACACTTGTGAAAAGCAAATAAATTTGTTTAGCAGCAGCTAAACAATAGCGCCAGCATGATCGAAACGTAAAAGTGACGACGAAATGTGCGAGGACTCACCTTCCGGCCCTGTGTAGGAATGTCACGCCCCTCCCTCGCCGCACAAAACCGCCCACATCGTAACCCTCCGTTGACCCCTCCCTAACCCTGCTCAACTCGCCGGGCCTCCTCCCCTCAAAGAACAGCCTTTGCGCCATTAACCCGTCCCTAACCAGCTTTGCGTCCTCGGCACTCAGCTGCAAAACGGCGGCGTTTGCGTTTTGCAGAGAAGCCGCCAAGTTCCGGACCGCAAATTCGTGTGACTCGGACTCGGACCCGTCTCTCAGGACCAAGTCCATCAGGCGCACCCTCAGCAGAGGACTTGGAAACCCCTGCTGGGGTTTAGCGGTCTGAAACAACGCAGGTCCGGCGGGATAGAATGGGGATCCCCGGGCCTCAATTTTCGGTGCAATTGGTTTCGGTCGCTGCGGGGGGGGCGGTGGTGGGGTGGCGTCCTGACTGATTGTATCCCCACTGGAGGGAGAGCTCCCAGAAAGTGCGGGCTGGCTGCTTGCTTTCCGCATCTCAGCCGACGAGTCCGAGGCCGTGCTGCCCAGTTTCCGCTTCCGACCTCGACTGACCGGGAGGCTTTTCACACTCCTCACAGGAGGTCCGGGGAAGAACGGCTGGCCCCCAGCGAAATGGGTCTCTGTTGGGACAGCTGGCAAGTTGCTGTTGGCTGCGGGGCTGGTGATGTCAGCAGGTGCACCGAAAGGGGGCGACGCACCTGGGGTGGCCCCGACAGCAACCGTATCAAGACTCTGGGGAAGGGTTAAGGCGGGGACCGCACCCTGGCCGCCACGTGTTCCGACCACGTGGCCCTGCGGTGGCGAGTGCGGCCAGTTCTGCTGTATGACACGGCGCTGCTCTTCCTCGTATGCAGCCTGTTGCAGACTGGCCGCGTCGGGGTAACCGTCGACCAGATAAGAAGGGCCGTAACCGGGGTTGGCGTTGTAAAACCCGCTCCCCATATACTGTTTGCCCGGCCAAGCCTCAGTAGGTAACACCAGCGGGTTCGTGCTGGTGGCCTCAAACCCGGAGGGGCTAGACCGGATGTTCTCCAGGCTTCCCTCAAACCGGCTCCAGTCCACGCTTCCACTCCGTTCTGGGTTCCGTTTTTTCCCTCCCCTCAAAAGATCGCTCCCTGTCTCATCTTGGCCGCCACTCCTTTGCCCCTCCCTCCTCCCACTCTCTTCACCGCTCTTCTTTCCAGCTTCCCACATGTCGAAACCCTGGGGTGCCCCCACCTCTTCAGACACCCTCGAGTGCTGTTGAGCCGCCAGAACCCGTTCTAACGTGAACGGGACCTGGGGAGTTATCGCCTTAGGGCGAGCAATGACCTGCCCCGGGTTGGGTGCTGACCCAGCCCCCGATCCGGCTGCCAACCTTCCACGTGGGGACCCCTCTGGACTCTCCTGAGTTAGGGGTAACCCAGGATAGTAACCGGGCACCTGCGTCACCTTCTTCTTGCTGTCAGGTTCCTCTGACGGAACCTGGAGGTTAGCGTAACCGGGCACCTGACCGCTCGGGAAGACGGGCTGAAAAGCAGACCCGGGCCGCCAACTGGGGGAGACCGTGCCTTCTTCCAAGCTGCTCTGCCGAGTTAGACCCTGACCCGACGTAAAACCGCTCTCAAAACCCCCACTCAAAGTCGCCTGGAGAGCGCTTCCCGGTCGCCAGATTGGTGAGAGGACCTCATTCTCTAGACTGTTCTGGCGCATCAGGTCTTGGAAACTGGGGTGCGGGCCAGAGAGAAAGCCCAGGTGGCCGAAACCAGAGTCGAAAGAGCGGGGACTAGAGGGGGAAACGGGAGGAGACGCGGTGGGGGGGAGGTTAAAGGGCCAGGGGATGGGGGAGGGGGTGCGCCAAATGCTGGCGGCCCATCCCAGGGGGGCAATGCTGCCTGCTGGGCCCCCCAGGACGGGACCCCCAGAACTAGTTCGTTCCAGCGGGGGGTATGGTTGGCCCTGCGACCAAAGAGTGGGTAGAGTGATTACAAGAAAAGGCCATTTTTCCAGTTGTATGCTCGACAGGTTGTGTTGGCAGACCGTCCGGATCCGCTGCCTTCAAGAAAGTTGTGACCTTTCTTAAACAAGCAGGTCTTGCCTTGCACTGAACGGGCGCTCCCAAATCACGGGTTCCCTCGGGATGAAGCTTGTTACTCACAAAGATACATCCAGATCGTCCACCAAACACAAGTGCGTCCTCCTCCGAATATCTTGTCTGGTGTTTGCAATCCCTTCAGGAAGAACATTTCTCCAAAGACTCTCCAGGTCAAAGCAATTTCTTTTTTGACCAAGAGAAGAGCTCATAATTCTGAAGCCTTCTTGCCGACTTTTCATTCGCAGACTGGACCTACCCCCCCGGCACCGTAGAGGTTCATTCTGAGACCCGGACCACTCACCTGCTCATCTTGAGCCTCGGACAGAGCTTGGTTCTGAAGCACTCTCTCAAATGCGCTCGGCAAACTCTCCGTGGATCCAAACGCCGCCTCCATCCCATGCATCAACGACTTGTTCTCTTCATCGACCGCTGCGGCCTGCACCCCAGATTCCCCAAGCGCTCCTTCTGTTGCCTCCCCTGCCTTGGTTTCGTTGACACCCTGCACTTGACCAGGGGTTATGAACTGGCCCAGGCCCCCCTGCTGACCACTGACCCCGCCAGAATCAACCACCACCTGGTTCTCATTTTCACCAATCAGTTCGCGGCTCCCAAACGGCGCACCCATACTCCCCAACACCGGACGTGCCCCCTTGGTCCCTTCCCCAAACCTGCTGCGCTTCCGGGCAAACCCGCCGCTCCTGCGCCGCCGAGGGGGGTTTTCCAGCACCACCCCGGGCTTCTGGACACCGCAGTCTTCAACCACAGCAGCAGTCGACTCCTGATGGGTGGGTGGTGCCAATCCCCCAGGGCTGAAGCTCCCCCCCAGTACATCAGGACCACTGATATCTGCCCCAGCGAGCACTCCGCTGTTCACATCATACGCCTCGGAAAAGCTGGCACCGCCGGTGCCCGACGCTAAACCCCCGGTAGCTTCTACCGGGACCATGCTCGGAACCTCCAAACCCTGGAACCCTTCACTTGTCTCTGCATCCAAGCCAAACGCCCCAGCGGCAGAAGGGACACCCGGAGCGGGAGGTGAGAGGCTGAGGCTCGGTCCCGGAGCGGCTTCTGCGGCTGCCGGCTCTGCTTCCTCCCCAGTGACATTGATCCCCAAAGTAACACTTGCGCCGTCACCAGACGCGATTGGGACGAGCTGCAAGCGCTCCCCATGTGGGCCCCTGAATGGGTGAAAAGAGTGCACTACTCAGAGTTTTGCTTGTTCAGGTTTGTCTGGTGCCCTGCGGAGTGCCCCGGCAACCAAAAATGGTGAACTGCGGGCGGTGCGTGGAAAGGATTGAGGGCAATAAAGATCTCAGCTGTACTTTCAAAATAAACGTCTAGCTTCAATTTAGATTCTGGATCAGGGCGTTCCTTCCCAGGAAATGACTTTTGCTGAGATTCGAACATGGGGCAAAATGAAGTAAAGCACGATTCTCTAATCCCATCCAATGCTGATGAAGCACGCGCCCAATGTGCAGGTCCGACAAGCAGGGTCTGTGCAGAACCATGGAGAATATTCTGGAGTCCTCGCTTGTAAAACTGGGCTCTGAGGAGAAACCACGACTGCTGACATATTCAAAGAAAGAGACACAGGGAAGCAACAAATCTAGACTTGCCACTGATCAGCGGGCTTACCTGTAACTCTCAATGCTCTGCCGAAGGAAGTCTAACTCCGCCAGCTTATCCCCCTCTGGCATGCCACTCTGCCCCAGCTTCACTTCCACCCCCCCTCGAAGATTAGAATCGGCGGTTTCAGACTTGCCAGCGTTCCCCGATCCCTGCTGCTCATATTGGAGCACCTCTTCTCCTTCCTTCTTGTCAGATGGAAGCCCGTCAATGTAGTCTAGGGGAGACGTTGCTGTAGCAATTGAGGGGAGGCAGATTGAAGACAGGGGCCCACTGAGTTCTGTCATGTCTCCCAGGGGGATCGATTGCTGCATGGGAGGCATCCCCTGAAGGGGAGAGGAAGGGGGCATGCTGGCAGCAGGGGCCGGCACTCGTGCTTCCGCACTGGGTCTTGGGGAAATGCGCTCGGTCATCAATGCCTGCAGATCATGGCGCAGGTTTAGAACAACCAAAAACTTCCCCTGTGTGCGGCGCATTGACAAGATGGTCTGAGTGGACAAAGTGAGGAGCATCTTGTTCAGATAGATGCAAGTCCGCAAGGACTATGGCAGCCCTGCAGTAAACAGGCAGTGCAACAACTTTTGCAGTGGTCCAGAACTATGTGAAAAACATGACATCATCAAGATTTGGGTCTCAAAGATTGATATCAATGAAAGCAAAAAGCTTTGCATTGAACAGTACCACACCTAGACCTTTAAGATTGGCCTTAGTGCATTGGATATCCTTGCAACCAGACGCTGCAGGTGGCAAATGCGAGGCAATATAAGGGTGGATGCAGGAAGAAACCACTCCCTAAATCCGATCATAAGCAACCTGCCAATCTGTGGTGCAGGCACCCAAACTTACTGCTCAAGGCTGCTTGATGCACCCATTATGCAGATCTACGAATTCACTGCAATTCAGAACCGTACTCAAGGACTGCTGTGAGATCTCATTCCTAACAGACGCATGGATTGCTACATATGAATCAAACTTTATGATCAAGAAACGCCATTGATCCACGGAAGCAACTGACAATGACACCAATCCATCACCGCAACTTGTACATGGAACATCAGAGCTCAGCTCAGATCAAGGGGGGATTGATGTCCTGGGAATTGGTGGTTTACGTGTGTCCAAAACCACCTAGTAAAAGCAGTTAAGCTGATGAGGGTCCCAAGAATGGTTTTTGTGACACTCTCTTTCTTCATTCTCTTCTTTGACGCGTTGTTGTGCAGCTCTGATAGAAGTAGAGTGTAAACTAAAAAAAGTTTACACTAAATGGTCCTTTGACATCTTGAAATAGTAAAAAGAGCATTAATCAATCTCCTGATGCAAATCCTCAAAGACCTCACCTCATCTGACAGAAGCGCTCTAGCGAGCCTGCAAAACCCTCCAGTAGTCTTGTCCAATCATTGTCTTTAGAAGCCCCGAGATCTAGGTTCTATTCAAGTTCTGCGTGAACAACTGAATTCAGCAGCCTTAGCCTCAACCATTTTTCTAGATTGTTTCCAGGAGTTGATCTGTCATTGCGGCTCATAGTCTAGCCTGATCTGCATTTCCTCCCCAAGAGGGCTCCAGTGCTTGAGCTGATGACTTTCAATTATAGGTATTTTGAATCCTTTTAGGACCCTCTATGAAAGTGCTTAAGGAACCGTGCTTTCTGATGCCGAAGCTCCCCAGTGCATGCACTGATTCAATTACAGGCTGTGTACAAATGGTTGCTGCTCAGATGAATGGCGTCTTTTCAAGTGTGCCCCTGACATCAAGCTACAACAGCCTGTACCACTGTGCTATCACAGCCTGTACCACTGAACCATCGCAAGTAAAGCACACAATCAGGCAAAACCCGCTCACTTGGTGAGCAAATCACGCCTTCATGAGGCAAGTACAGAACAGACCCCCAATTGTGATTCGCGTCTAAATATTGCTGCAAGCCATGTGCATGAGAGCTTGCCGCCAGCTCCTCCTTTAAATGACCCTTGGTCCTGTCCCCTTACACTCCTGTGTCTAGATCTACTTCGCAGGGCTGTTGTGATGAGCATAAACCTGCAGAAGCAGCCTCGTTGATGCGCTCACTGCTCGTCCAGTCGCAACATCGACCGCCATTCAGACCATGCTCCGAGGACCAAGCTGCAGTCCAGCTCACTTTCTTGATTCACAGCTTTTGGCGCCATGGCCCCCGTGCCACCAACTTCAAGGTTCACCACTGCCACTGCCAGCCTGTGCAGTGTGCACCACTCCTGGCACTGGCCATGTGATTGATGCAATAATTTTGCACCGTGAAGTTGAAAGTTCTAGGCGCCCTGGGCCTCGGAGTCCCGACTCCCAATCCCAGCAACCTAGCTACCTAGTAGGTGGCCTGGTACGATCCGATCGCACCAAAACTTGCAAAAGTTTCGGCAAAGGAATAGATGTATTTGCGACAAATTGCGAGTAATTTGGTGCTGGTAGACCGTAGGATAGGGCCGGTAGATCTTAGTGTTTGGTGCGAAACAGATCGGTAGATCTCGGCCGCAGATCTTCTGGTTCCAGTTCCTAACTGCTTGCATGCAAATCTTGACCGAACACGTGGGCTCCTGCCAAGTTCGAGGTCCTCTCACCGTTCATTGGTCGGCAGCTTGTGTGTCCTGCCCTTTAATTTCATTCGCTTTTCCGCAAACCAGACCGAAGAGAGATGCGCTTGGCTCCAAAAAGGTAGGCGGTAATGGTTTGAGGACCCCAAGTGCGCCGGGGCCGCGCCTGGACGGGCCGGCTGCCCGGCCCGGAGGCAAGGGGAAGGGGATAGCACAGGCTGTAGCAGCAGGCAGTACGCCATGTAATTGGCCGGTTGCAAAAATTGGCTTTGACCGGCAGAGTCGGCAACCGTTACCCCCGCCGTTGTTGGGGCCGCAGGCTGTACCGTCGCTGCTGTTTGTGTCAACTACCGGGTGTCGAGGTTTATGAATTTTGATGTGCATGGGGCGCATCAGCCCGGCCTAGTAGTTCGTAGTAACCAAGCTGGCAGAGACAGAATTACCAGTAACCATCGTTCACCGTTCACCGGCCTCCGCTACCGGGCTACCTCTTCGTAATCGTGCATGACCAGGAAGAGTGACACCTTGACACAACAATCAGATTCCTTCCACCAAATGTTGACATCAACACGCTCTGCAAGATTCCGCCTGAGGAGAGGGATCAGGATGCAGTCACCAGTGCATTGATGATTGCACTTCGCAGGAAATTGTGAAGGCACTAGCCATGCACCTTGTGCAGATGCAGTGCTGCATAAAATCCATGCTCTTCCCCTCTCGAAGCCTCGTCAAGTACGTTCCCCCAGATTCAACAGCCCACCGTCGTTCATGTCCAAGTTCATTCCCTGTGGCGAGCACCAAATTGTAGCACCACTTTGAGCACGCCTTCTAAGTTCTACCTAGTTCAAGTTACCATTCGCGTCGAAAAGGTGGTGTGCATGCAAGTTGCAGACATGGCCGGGGGGACAACTTCAGCTGTTCTAGCGGTAGCAATTGTCCTGTTGGCAAGGAGTGTGTCAGCTCAGCAGCTGGTTAGGTGAGGAGCCAAGGTTTCTGTGGTGGAAGTGAACTAACATTTATTCCAGGTCTTTAAGATGTTTGGATAATACTTGTAAACATGTGTGCAACATAGTGTGTGGACTGTTTCTCCAAGTCCTGCAAGCACTTTTTCTTCAGAGATCTGAAAGTATTAATATGGTACTCATGGTAATCAGAGAGATATCAAGATGCCAATGAGTCAGAAACTTGTACTTGCAAGAGGGGTGTGTTTGTTTAATCAGTATCTTAATGGACATCGTCCTTCGGAGACTTATGATCTGCTACAGAATATACGCGGCACACTTTTCAAAACCACCGACAAACCAGCTAGTCACATCATGGTGCAGCTGTTCAAGACTTCTGGCTGTGCATTGTTTTGAAATGATGTTGCGCAGCAACCGCTTGGTGGTTGCTGCTTGTTTCTAGTGTTCTTGGTGGTTCATTTTGAAAGTGATACAAAGGAGTGGTTCTGGATCTCTTCTTCCCCACCTGACTGTTACGAAACGTACCACTCACCATTCTCTTTCTCTTCAATCTCTCCAGTTCTGTGCCAATCACACCCGTGCTGCAGCTACAGGCAGCGCGTGTCATCCCTGATGTCGTCAACGGTGTTGTGTCTCCTGCTGAGAACCTCACCATCATCTATGGTGGGGTAAACAGCGTAGGCTATGGGAACGAGCTTACCGTCAACCAGACCCAGGCAGCTCCCATTGTCAATGTGATCAACGTGAGATCACTCGCTCCGCTTCGTCTGGTTCCCCTGTCTGAGCTTCTTTGGCAAGGGAGATCATCTACTTCTAGTCAGATTTGAAATGGTCATCAGTCCTTTGCTGTGGGGCAGCAATCCGAAAATTACTGTCAGCGCTTCCTCGATGTCACACAACTTTTTACCCCCTGACATCCTTTCCCATCTCGACCCTGCAATCACCACGTCCATTCAGCACCCAGCTGACGAACTTTTACCAGAATCTTTGGGCTCATCTGAATGTGAAGCAACCAGACACGGCTACTTCTTGTTGCTACCTTCCGAAGGGCCCTTATGCAGATAGTCGAGGCAGCAACTTTGAACATGCAAGAAGAAAGGAGCATGGGAGGGAACCTTGAGAGCTGATGTCAGTACAAAGAGCTAACATTGGTTAATCAAGCCTAGAGTGATCCAACTCATGGAGCACACTTTGATGGCAAAATGAGGCTTAGTCGGACGAAAGCAAAGTGAGCTTAGCAGGTTGGAATCAGGTGTGTTGGATCTGCTGTATAGTTCAGAGTCTAAAGCTTTTTGACTTCCACTGCAGGGGAGTGACCCTGCCAGTCTTTACACTCTGATCCTCTCAGACCCTGATGTTCCGGACCCGTCAGTTGCGGGACCCAACTCTAGCTACCTGCACTACCTCGTCGTGAATATCACTGGCGGAGCGTCCAGCAGTAAGTTCCCCATGTCTGAGTCGCCGTGATATACTTGTAAGGTCAAATTAAGATCCAGGGAGGCGCCTTTCCAAATATGCCCCATAGCGCTAGTGGATTGGTAGCAGTGAGAGATGCCACTTATAGGGCGACTTTTATTGTGGGTTTCGGAAGGTATCCACAGAATAGCTCCCGGACTGCCACAAAAGCGTTGATCTGGGTGCTCATCAAGACTTCTTGAAGGGGCAATATGCCTGAGAGATTTTTTGGGAGGGCTCGGCCAAACATCTGCATGCAATGCATCGCTCTTTCAGTGGACCCAATTTCTTCCTGCGTTGCTAGCTTTCCTGTTGGATTGTGCTTTGTGGTAGGGGCGTTGCCCGGTTGTTGGTATGTGTTTGATAGGAAGTTGCTCAAGCGACTTCCGCCGCTATGCCACTTTCTGGCAAACGTGATGGCAACTGCTTGTACGTAATTCAGCTTCATAAATCCTCGTCAAGGCTACATCGACTAAGGGACTCAGCTTGTTTGGTGGAGCCTTCCATATGTCTTCCTCAAAATTTCCCCTGTGCATGCTCTCTTTGGTCAAAAGGACACTTTCTCATCTCTCAACAAACCCGACAAAACCTCACCTTGGGCTCCAGAGGCAACGCCTGCCGGCCCTTTGTAAAAATCCATCTCAACTAAGTTCGAAAATCGATAACTCTCTCCTCTTCGGCAGACATCGCTGTGACCGGAGTTCCCCTGGCCCCGTACCAGCCTCCTGCCCCCCCAAGCGGCCTGCACCGCTACGTGTTTCAGCTGTACAAGCAGAACGCAACCGCGAGGATTGGCAACATCAGTGTCTCCCGTTCCGGATTCCTGCCGAAGACTTTCGCCGCAACTTATGGGTTGGGCCTCCCAGTTGCGGTTAACTTCTTCCGCGCGCAGCCCGCTGGAGCAAACAATCTGACGACCAACTCGACCCCAGATGTTGTGTGAGTATCCGCTGTCAATCGAGGTTCCAGAATGATTGGATTATCGTGAAAGTCAAACTGCTAGGTCGTTTTTTAAGGCTAGAGGGAAGTATTTGAGTCGCGCTTAGGTAGTATATTTCGTCCGAGCCTTTCGTGTTCCTCTCGTGATTCTTCGTTTTGCAAATCAAACACGAGGTTTTTGTTTTTTCCATGGTGCGGAGGCACTGAAAGGAAAGAAATAACTTGAGTCCTTGTGATTATGAGGTAAATACTACAGATTTGCCTCGTCTTATGCAGCGACTGGAAGCGTGGCTTTTTGATGAGCTCCTCATTGGGTCCGGGTTCTCGTTTTAAGCACACTCTTTTCACCCCTCCATAAAGGTACCTCATTTTCAGGTCCACCTTTGAACCCTGTTTCTGATGTGCATCTCCGTGGATGGGTTGTCTACCTAAGTAGAAGATTGTCAAACCAACTTTTCTTATCCACTTTACTCGTATGCATCCAAAGCTTCGATCCACGTGCTAAGCATGAAACTATTTCGGGTTCACCTGTCCAATCAACTGGCTCTGCTCCAAGTGGAACATCCATTCGCGGATTACACCTGAAGACTGACCGCAAAGGCCTCTAGCATACGGCAGGGCTATGGTTTTAATCGAGTAGTTGATATGTTCCAAAAGTTGGTTGATGCCACTCGATCGTGGTTGGCCAACTATCTGAAGGTCCTTTTTCATGTGGGTATGGAAGTTGATGTCTACTTGCAGTTGCGCTGTCCGACCAGAGAATCCAGGTGTCGAGAGCCCGGCGGAACATAAGTGGAAAGCTGATCTGTTTTCAGCTGTTTTTAAAGTGTAAACTCTGCTTCTCTTCGATTGTTCTGCAGCGAGGTTCAAGAGCTGCTGAGGGGCAGGGTGATCCCCCAGGTGGTGCCCCCATTCACACCCCTCGCCCGGCTCAATGTCTCCTATGGGAACGGCACCCTGTCATAGTAAGTGTGCCGGCCCGCTTCCGATGTCTCTCGAAGCTCTAAAAGAGCTTCTTCAATCATGTTACCTACTACAGGAAAGGTGAATATGAAAGAGGTTTAGAGTGCACTCAATTGTGCTTTGCGTTTGCACGAAGCTGTGCTCATGCTTGACATCCGACTACAGTCTGGATAAATTGTCTTAACCTCGCTCAGGGAAAGCACTGGCAGACCTCAGTCCGGAGGCTCCTCTTTGCTTTGACCTGGGGTTATGCCGCCCATGCTCGTGGCACTAACCTGATGGCTAACTCCTTTTTCTATGTCTTACATCACTCTCCTCACGCAGTAGAATAATGGCCGTCCCAGATAGAGTCGCCTTCCTCTACCACATTATTTTTGGTTCTAAAACCTGGTTATTACTGCAAGTGCTACGCTGCCTCAAGATGGAATCTTTGTTTCTGGTAGGCCATTTGGTAGGCAAATTCGCACCAGTCCGCATTAGCCTGCACCCGGCCTGGTGCTCCCGGGGCCTAACATCCAAATACTGCGTCTAGTTTGGCGAACCTTACATTGACTATCTGTTGAGAACTCTCGTACTCGCCGAAGTAGCCTCACTCCCGCCTTATGCGGCCAGGGCCTTGCCCCGGGCTCTGTTCTCTGGTTATTGTGGCCGTTTCCACTAGCCCTGCGTCAACCTTTGTTTACTTCAGCGGCGCCCGCGGCCGAAATCGCTCCCCTCTGTTCAGGACAAGGCTCCGGCCAGTTACCTCCAAGTATTATCCTGGTTTCCATATTCTAAGCAGATTCCTTTCTTTCTTCTTCAGTGGCCAGATTATTGCCCCGGCCGAAGCAACCTCCCCCCCCGCCGTGTATGCTCAGGGCATTGCCCCGGGCACCATTTACAACTCGACGTTCCCCTATTTCACGCTCGCCGTTGTGGACCCTGATGCACCCGACCCGACTACGCCGACCAGTTCCCTTATCCTGCACTACCTGAAGGTCAACATTCCGACCAACACCCCGACCGCCAGTGAGTTTTCGCCTCTAGTTTGCCTCGCTTGCGATATATCTGTTGCAGATTCCCAAAACATCCTTCACCGTCTTTCGGAGAATATACTTCAATGTCCTAAGAAGCTGAAGCTTGATATCTCCTGCAGGTTTGGCATTCGTCTGAACACCTCTCCTTGACTGTAATGCCGATAAACCTGACAATCATTTCCACTGAGCGTGTTTTTGCGACGAGAATTTCGTCGTAGCGTCCGTCCACATCGCACCCTTCCCTGCTGGGGCTACGAGCTCTCCCCTTTTTAAACACTTTCGGTTTTCTTTTTGTTGAGAGCCGTCCCACTTCGCCTCCCTCTGCTTCCGAAGATCCGTTTCATGCTTCCAAGTATTCTTGGAGAAAGGTCGCTCCTGATCAGTGCCGCTCAAAGATCAGTATTCTCAGCGTTCAGTACCTTCTGTTGAGCTTTTCCAAGTGCTAAGCAGAATAAGTACCTCCTCGAGAAGGTGCCAGTCTTGCCTTCATATGGTATCACGGTGCGACCCTCGATCGAAGTGAACTTTGCACGTAAGCTCAGCGGGCGGCTTGGTTGCACCCTCAGCTTTGCTGACTAAGTCCTGACCGTCGAAACGGTCCTGCTAGAGCATGACGCACCTTTTGTTCTTGTCCGCACGTGTTGGGGCGTGCTCTCGGGGCTGACGTCATGCTCATGATCCTGCAGACATTGTGAACGTCACTGGAGGCAACGTGCTTCAGACCTACGCGCCGCCGGGTCCCCCGACGGGACTCCACCGCTACACCTTCGTCCTGTACGGCCAAGGGAGGCTTTCTAACGTGAGTTACTCTATAATAGAACGAAGGGTTTTGTGCAGAAAGCACAAGTTCGGGTTTGCCTATCAACCTTGTTCCAAAGATTGGCTCCTGATAGGGCGTCAGAAGACCCAAATCTGCCGGCGGATAGCGAGCTTGTAACTCTCTCAATATATTCCCTGAAGCAGAAGCTTAAAAAGCTAAGCATGTATACCATGATGGATCCTTCGGACCTGCGGTTTCAACTTCACGCTCTGTAACCATTCTGCTTACCTGCCTTTTTTCCAGGCGACCGCCCCGGCCTCCCGCTCCCTCTTCAACCTCACCAGCTTCGCCCTGAATAACACGCTGGGCAGCCCCCTCGCCGCCTTCTACTTCAACTCCCTCCGGGTTAACACGACCACTGCTGCCTTCGCTCCAGCCAATACCAACGCCACGCTTGTGACCCCCACAGCGACTAACGCGACTGCGGCGAAAGTCCCCGCTCCGGCGCCGAAGTAACAAGCAAAATGGTGCCTTGCGGGTCCGGCGTTCTATTCATAGGTCCCGGCTTTGAGTCTGTTCGAATACCCAAGTGCGCGCTAACTTCTGCGATTAACAAGTAGTACCATAAACAGACGCCGTGCCGAGCTTGCATCAAGGAGGATGGCGCGCATATGAGACCAAAATGAGTTGGGTCGGTTGAGTTAGGATAGCGAGGCTATTTTATACCATCAGGAAGTATCCGGAAGTTACTCCTGAAGCCGGCGCCACGCTCTGTCAGTGTATAGGCACGCAAGCTTGTATTTTCAACGCTTTGACTCGCTCTGCATAGACTTTTACATGATTCGGTGGGTCGACTTGAGAGGTGTGGTGCAAAGGTTCGAATGTATCTGTATCAACCTTCAGGTGGTACTGATATGTATTAGGACACGGAAATCGTGGTTAACTCTTCTGCTAAACGTGCGTGCTTTCATGAACGGTTTGGCAAGGGGTGAGGAACGAGTGAGCGTACGAGGCCATGTGAGACTCGGATATCCCTTTCTTACTACCTGATGATTACTTAGATCCGTCGAGCACGTTCAACGGTTCAGCAATGTCCTTGGAAGAACCCCAAGACTGAGATGCATGCAGCGGATAAGAATCCTTGCACAACATATCCTCTGTGATTACGTGTATCTTGGATCAACTTAAAAGGTACTAGGCTACCTATTGGAACAATGCATGGTCTGGGTAGGTGCGGGTCACGTTGCTGTATGATCCAATCGTTACATATTGAAGGGGTGAGATGGTTCCGGAAACAAAGTGCAGGCTATCATATATGGATGACAACTATAACAAAGCAACGGGGGGATTGACTGCGCCAAATGTCTCCAAAGCCTAGGCAGGTCCGTAATAATTTCGTACTGCTTGGATGCAATATGAATTCCCGGTCAAATGACCTCATGAAGCAATCCGCATGATTCAACGATCTCAAGCTTGCATTTGATTTCGAATCATCTCTGCCCACTCATTTGTAGTACTTGACTTAACCCTCATATAATTGCGCAACCGCTCCCTGCGCGGCCCCAAGTAGAGCAAGAATGGCCAGCAACATTCCCAATGTGGTGGGCAATGAAAAGGTAACGCCGGCATAGTCATCTCAGCTGCTTGCGAGTTGTTGGTTACGTACAGCTTTTTGTGGCGACTCCTGCGCGGCTGCTTTCCACGGCAAGTCGCGTCTTCTCTCAGTGCGGCTTTGACTTCGTCTTACAATGGTCTGTCGGCCTCTTGTTCTCGCGTCGTCAAATTCAATTGAAGCTGCGCCTGAAGAGTGAAGCTTCTGAAAAGGTCGAGGCTCGAGTGCGAAGTCCACGCGAAGTCAAGGAAGGGAACTTTGATTTCTAGTCGCTATGTTTCGCTCTTTGTAGGCGGCGAGATACTTTTGACAGAGCCAGCTTTACCCGGTGCCATTCTACAGTCCGTATGACTAGCTTCACAAAGTAATCGTGAGCACTGCAAGCAATCTAGCTGCTTGCTGACCTTAAGGAGAAACGCTCTCTGAACCAGCTGATGAGAGGCAGAATGTACTAGAGGGACTGCCCCGCGGGGGGCAGCCGTTTCTCCGTCATGAGGTGGGCGTCCAGCCCAGATGCGTCGTCCCGCATCTCGGCGAGCGTTGAGGATAGCGCCGAGGAAAAATAGAAATATGGGACGAGAAGAACGTCTAGGATAAGGTCGAGGAGGGCGCCGAGGATAGCGCCTAGCTGGTTAGGGTCGAGGAGGGCGCCGAAGATGATCTTGCTACAGCTAGTTGCGAGGATAGGGCCGATGATACTGTCAAGGATCGTTTCTCTCCGGCGCTATCTTCCAAAGTAGCCTCGACGCTATTCCGATCCTTGCCGCCGCTGAGCGCCAAAGAGAGCGTCCAAGATCATTGCGCGCCGAGCGATGGGGAAAAAAGTCAGCGCTTCACGGCCAAGCAGTTCAGTCGCTTGGCAAGCCCATCGTTCCGCTCCGGTTTTGACAGATAATGATCCGTTCTCCAGGTCGCTGCGCTGCGGAAGGTGGCAGTCACGGTTCCGTTCCGCCGATCTCAGCCGGACCCTCGTTCCGCTGGGGCCGAGTCTCAGCCGATCCAATCCGCCCAGCTGGAGGCCGCGGTTCGAATATGGAACCGGGCCCGGTTCCGCTGCAGCGCGCCCCTGTTAGTCAATCGACTGCACGGCAGGCCAGTTTGGCCATTCCGTTACCCGCCAACCTCAGCCAGTCCGTTCCGCTGATTCGCAGGCCAATCCGGACTGGAACCGGGTCGATGTAGTTGCCACGCGTCCCGGCCGGCCATTTTGCTGCACGCACCCCGACGCCGGTCCGTTGCGCGCGAGCCTGAACCGAACTGTACCGCTAGCTTGCGGCCCATTCCGGTGGCATGGAGGGTCACGGTACACGGAAGAGCATCTAGCACTAGCCCGTTTGGTGTTCCGCTCGGACCGGACACCTTTGGTGAAGCCAAACGGAACTTGCTGAAAAGCGACTTTGACATTCGAATGTGGGTCGAAGTGGTGGTGGTGCGGTGGCTGCGCAGCACGAAGACACGTGGCGCGCATCCGAGCTCATTGTCCGCGGGCGCTAGAAGTTCGCGCGTTTCGGATGTGAGGAACGGCAAGATTCCGGCGGAATGAGCTCGGTGGTTTGAGCGCCGTTGCACGCGCGTTCCACAACGCGGTTCAGCTGCTGCGTACGGGAATGTGTCTTTCCTCGCCAGGATCGCGCGGGCGCTGGCCGCGTCTTGGGAGCGACGATATGCGCTCAAAGAACAAGGCAGCGAGGTTTCGACGGCAACCACACGGCTTCAAGAAGTGCCGGGTCGCCAAGATGAGTACGAGATAGCTGATGGAGAAAATAGGCGACCAGTTTACGTCATGCAAGGGTCAACCGTGCATCCGGCCTATCAATATTGAATGACTGGATCTTGCGATTGAATGTCCTTTACAGAGGATATGCAGATGATTTGGAAAAGGAGATCATCGGATTGGCTGGCATGTTTGCGCACGTTTGTATAATACAACAATCGGTGCATTATCAGATTGTCTGCATCAATTTTCTAACGGTATCACAAACCTCCCCAATCACCGAATATTCACAAGCTCCTTACGTACATTTGGAGTCTGACGTTGAACGAAATTTGAGCTTTGAACTACGCTATTGAACGCTTTGTCCGATTGAAAGCTCATGCCAAATCAACGGCAGTGCGTATTAATATTCCATTCCTTCTGATGAGTCAACTCCTCCGAGCTTCTGCGGCTCCTATTGCATCACAAAAGCCAGTGACTACGTCTCACTATCACTCCTTACAGGTTTCTCTAGCAACCGTCAGTCAGCGGAGTGCCGCAATTGGGCAAGCATACGCCCTGCGCCGGCGGAAGTGCCGCGGCCAACCCGCCGCAGCTTCCGGCGCAGTTGTACCCAACCAGGCAATCTAGGTCGGTGTTGCAGCCAATATCGCAGTTGGCACATATCACGCTTGCCTGGCAGACGGTCGCCGGACCTGGCAGGGAGCAGGGAGAGCTGAGCCAGGGTATCTGATCAGATAGCATGCCGACCTTTCTTATGGCACAGACATCAAATCATCTCGGGATGTTGGTTAGAAAATTACTCTGCCCTACGACGAAGCTCTTGCGTAACCCTTAGTTATCACTAAAATGTTGATATTCGAGTCCAAATTCGACATTTAGAGTAGGCAGTGCCCAGGGAAGGGCCCGGGAAGGGGTGGGCCTGATTTGGGATTTAGGGTGCGTACGGGTTCGAAGCAGAACAAAATCTACTTCCTGATATTGAGATGGCATCACGCTATCTCAATGCAAGCTTTGGGTCATTGAGACTTACTACCCGCCACAGCTGGGTTGCCGCCCACATAAGAGCCACACGCACAAGCTGGGGCGCACTCAGCGCTCGGTCCGTTCTCCGGAATGGTGCACGCCACAAGAGAACCATTTGCCGAAACAGTCGCTGCGAGCAGGCGGACCGTGACAGGCTAGGGTAAGAAAAGGTTACCGTCAACATAATTCTTTCATTTCGTAACGATGCATACGTGAAAGCTTTTTGTCTGCGAAAGAAACGAGGCTCTCGACGTCAGATGAAAGGGCAAAGAACAACTGAGGGCTGAGCCGATCTGGTTAACGAAGAACTATCCAAAGTGATGCAAAGATGTAGAACCGTGTATATATTTTTTACACTTTAGGCCGGCGGTTTTCCGTGTCAAGATCCAAAACAAAGATGATCGTTTTGTCTGTGGCGATCTGGACCACTCCTCACCGAGCATAGAACCCGTCGGTGTAAACACGGACAAAAAACTTAGGGAGCCAACTTCAGACCTACAAAAGCTGGACTAATTTTAAGACTTCCTCATTATTCGTCTTTCTTTTTTCAAAAAAGAGGCTCAGCTTGTGGAGATCTTCGAAAAGGCAAACCACAGTTTTTGCAGGTAGGAAAACACCATGTTTGCATCCTGTGGTCATCAGTTAATGTAGCACAGGGAATTGTCCCGCCGAACGCGCTACAAACCAGATCGACCGGGGAGAAAATCTAGGGAAGTACGAATTCCCAAATACAAACTAGGTCTTCTTTTGAGGGATTGCGGGTCCCTGGCTTTGAATCTGGGTTCAAGTGCAACGTATCACAGGCAACTAATTGTCGGCAGAAACTATCTTGACTCAATCAACGCAATTGAGAAATCGATGATTGCTGGCCAAAGGCATCAGACCGGAAGATCAGGTATCAAAAAGTCAGCTTCGCACCCAATTCGCCGCCGACAAAAGCAGGCTGAAGATGCAAGAACTGATGAGGACGGATTTGAAAGGGTGTGTTGGCCTCACCTTGCGGCGTGGGGGTCGGTATGGCCGGAAGGGAAGAAAGAGGGGGGACAGTCGGTGAAAGACTGGGCGACGGGAAAGGAAGGCGGGGGAGCGTAGGTAGTGGCACGGGTACGAGAGCGTCTGCAATCGAGAAATCAGGCAGTAAGATCCACGGAGTCATTGCAGGCTTCTGCCTAAAAGTCAAACCTGGTTAGTAGCGGTCAAGTCCCCACATACTAGCTCGAGCCTCGTCGGCTTCCTTCTAACAAGGCTTGGTCAAGAGCAGTGTTCGGCAGGTTCCTAAGTGATCAAAGAGCGACTCGGAGGCCTTGAGGTCTTAAACCTGTATCAAAACCGAGAGCTAGGACTCGCCTAATAATCTTCCGTACAAGATCTCGCTTAGGTTGTCTGCAAACCATGATCTCAATCAATTCGTGGCAGATTCTTACAATAATTCGCTTGTCTACTTGTGCAATAACCCTTGTGCGATTGAGTACTCTTCCGAAAGAGAGCTAATCTAGCAATTTTAGTATTTCCAAGTAAGAAACGGCCCGGCGGCAAAGCCAGACCATCAGTATCTCCGCTCAAAAGTGTGTCCCAAGTGAACGATGAGAGCAACCATGGCAAAGAGGCAACGTCGCGTACTTAGATTACATATGCGGGTCAAGAGTCGTATTTCAAGCGGAAGCCCTCCGCCAAATCAGCCAGTCAGCCAGTCATTCTTTCGAGGTGAATGGAAGTAAAGGAAGAACCGCAAGTGATTGTTCATCAAACTTGTAATTGGGTTGGCGCAACGCTCTTCAATCGTTAATGCAGCCGTGTTGGATTCAGTAATCTAAAACAGGATCAGCGATGAGTGTCTATGCAGCCGTGGCGTCTGGTTTCAAAATGACGTGTCCAGAAAGACGCCACGGGTTGCTGACGTTACGGATGCTTGACATTCGTGCTCATCGCCCTTCCTTGAATTGAAAAAAAAGCCTAGTCTAGTATGCAGATTTAGCATGAGCGACGTTTCCGACTCCTGGTTTCCAGCCGCAGTTCAGCAAACCCAGCAGCCACAGAAGACATATGAAGAGTGCTGAACGCCAGCTGAGATGAAGGGCGGCGCTGCAATTTCAATCGTCCTATATATTAATCCAAGTCCGTAACACTGCGCATCCCTCACCAAGACAGAGGGGGTCGACGCCCGGCCCCATCGCTATTCCGGAGCGGATGTCGTAGTTACAATTGACGGTTTCGAAGCCAAACACGCTTGGGATTGGGTTGTTGTAGACACAGCGGATAATCTGGAGCGTGCTTGGAGACGGGCCGACGAACCCAACCAACGGGCACGCGTCGCCAATGAGTGACGGACTGTAACCTGCACCAGTCAACCAGAACCGGCACAATACGCACGCGGTTTGTATAGTTGAAGAGCAATAGTAGACAGCGGATCCTCAGACAATCAGGCCCTTGCGACCGAAGAGGATGTAT